TTCATCACTTTATAGCTTCTTCAGGTTAAAATTAAGAATTAAATGTAATTTTAAACTCTGAACTTTAAGGTTTATTTGCTGGAAAATGTACACATTTTGCAATTAAAGTAGGAAACCTCCCTAAGGGGGCCCCATCTGACAGCACTCACTCTTGTTACCATGCTGAACTCTGGTTTGAGGGCCCCCCAATTGATCTTTGCAGAGGGCCCCAACAGACTCTAGAACCGCCCCTGGAGAAAATTGTTAATTAAATAGTAAAAATATGACCCAACAAAAAAAGAGTGACGAGTAAACCAAACAACACTATTTACAAAGCAACAAACCTCTTCCAAAAAGAAATAGGATGAAGTTTATTATTAGGCTATTTTTCGTATCCCTTGACAACAATAACACAACTATCTGTCAGTAGTTGAGGAAGTTAAAAACATACATTAGATAACAGATATAACAAGGCAGTAACATCATTTTCTCTTCTTTAGACTTATTCAAATTGTTTCTAAGTTTGAGTTATTTTGTATTTACATCACATAACACAAATCATTTCTGGCTGTACCGTTATCCTCAGCCTGCTCCTTCATCTGTTTTTTCTCCCAGGAGTGTATTTCACTCCCTTATTACGTCCAACAAATATTGATCTGGCCTTTAGAGGGCACTGTGGCGCAGAATCTCTCTCGTTGGAGGTCCAGTCAGAGCAGAAATCAGTCTTTAGGTCGCTCAAAAAGAACCACATGTAAATGTATTTTTCAACCTATTAAAAAAAACAAAAACTTCTGGCGATGACTCATGTCTGATCTGTGATGTTTGAGGCCTTATTCACTCGAGCCTGGTTCAGTCTGACTCACATTTTGTGTCTGAGGCAGGTGTTTATAGTGACAGACAAAAATTCATTCCCATGTCTGTAACCATGGCAGCAACAGAGAGAGAGAGAGATGGAGAGCAGAGGTAGAGAGAGAGAGAGAGAGAGTTTTGTTTTCTGTGCTCACCAAAATAAAAACCCTCACAATGACAATTTAGCTCTCTGCTCCTTATGCAATCCTGAGGCCAATGTGCCTCAAAACTTATTTATATTTAACCATTTGTTGTCATGGCGTTAGATCAGCGTCTATCTTGCATCATTAAGCCAGAGACAGATTTCATGTGAGAAGTCTTGCAATGGTAGTCAGGGGTCATTCTCCCCCGAGCAGGTTTGCATGAATAATAATTGACCTGGTTTGGTAGATTAGAAGAGGTCAAGACTCCGAGGAGGATCCAGCTGTGTTGTTGTGTGATGTGCAGGGTACATGTGGGTCGAGCAGAGCAGATGCTGAGGGTCGATTTTAAGTAAAACAGCATCAAAATGTACAGATGTGTGTGGATATATGGGGCCTTCACAAATGCTATGTTATATAGCCATGACCACCCAGACAGTGGGGGTCCCCAATATCTGGATCCCTGCACCAATGCACCACCTTACCATTGCGGATGTCGCCTCTTGAACTGAGGGCTGATGGTCCCTCTCCTCTTCAGGGGCGTGTCCAGAGGGGTGGCCAGGGGAGGCATGGGCCCCCCCTAGAAATCTGATTAGCCACCCCAGTTGCAATCCCAAAAATCCTAAACTATGAGGTGTGGCTATAAACCCTGTCAGAGGTGGGACCTACGTTGAAACCAATTATTAGTGTGTGTGTGTGTGTATGTGTGTGTATGTGTTACTCTTGCCATCTGAACCAGGGACACCAGATGGAAATAAGCTAGTTAGCTAAATCTGGTACAAAGCATATCTTCTCTTCTGAGACAACACTGTCCCTTATTCCAATAAACGAATAAACGAATAAACTAAACTAAACAAGACAGGCGGATTTGAAATAAAAAAAGAGGGTCTGCGTCCGCTCATTGGAGAACAACACAGAGATCAAGGCAGCTACTTCACTGACTTTGTGGCTGATTTTGAGTCATGTTAGTCGGACACAGCTTTAGTCAGTCAAAGCTGCACTCCGACTGATTCCTTTTAACGTCACAAATCCACTTTCAGTCACAACAACCGGTGAAAAGTCATTTAATTCTTTGCTTGTAAATTTCACAAACATGGCCGACCCTCACGGGCGACCCATTTACACAAGGTGGAGGATGTCAAAAGTTACAGTGTGATGGGAGTGGCAGTGTCACATGACCATCTGGACAGGAGCAGAGTGTTGCAAACATCATGAGTTAAGGAGTGCGGCAGTGTCACATGACCATCTGGACTGGGAAACAGTGTTTCACATAATCCTCTTCATCTTCTCAAGAGCAACTCATAAGAATAATCAATCTAATGACTTCATATATTTACTTTTTTTAAAGGCTTTATCTTCATATACATGCTTTTTTTTTTTTAAAAACATGCAAAAAATACACTTTGCATTAGAGCATAAATAAACTGTGCTTTAACTCAGAACTTTAGGACAAACACCCGCTCTGCAAGGGCAGGAAATGAAAAAAGCTATTTTATAGATTAGATATTTTACTTTTATAGATCTGTGCGTCTTCTGCTCGCTCGTTACTCAATCAATCTTAGTGGATTTGTCTACACACCATTCATCACAACAGCTATATCTGCAATCCTGTCGGAGCCTCTCGAGTACCATTATCAATAAATCAAGTTTTTCAATACAAGATGCTATATTTCCACTTAAGGAAAAGAAAGTTGTGATCATTTTGATACAATGATGAGTGGATCTTGTCATATAAAGTGTAATAATAATAATTCATAGTATATTTTTTATGAATAATAATTCATTTTTATTTTTTTTACTTTTGTAAAATATTCAGCTCATCAAAGCACCCACGTGTGTGATGTTTTAAGGGTTAAAAATACAAGATCATTTCAAGGTAATCACAAGTATACGGACCAGTAAATGACATTAAAGAAGAGGAAGGTGAAGGGGAAGAGGGCTCGGGCGTATAGGTCGACTCGTTTAGCCGCCGAGGGGATCACAGGTTTCGGAGGAGGGGGTTTCTTGTTTTTCTTGGACTGGGATTTGCCAGCACCGGCGCCCAAATCGATCGGCTTCCCATAGCAGTCAAAGTTCGACAGTTCAAAGTCCCGCGGGAGCGAGCCCACGATGCTGAAGTCGTTGGTCCGCAGGTCCGATTTGGAGGTGCACACCTTCTTGCAGCGAGTCTCGGCCACCTGGGTGTTAAAGAGATGAGGGTGAACAGGATGGACTAAAAACAGTCTGCAGCAGTGCATTTATCTACTACTATCTGGAATCCATACACCAGGACACGATTAGACTGAAAGTCTGTGAGCGTGCCGCCGGCTGCCCCTCAGGATGTGCAGCCTCAACAAAGTTCTTAAAATCTGAACTGATGAGGAGCAGAGTGGGATTACTGCGCACAGAGCCGAGACTAAAAATGATGATCATCCAAATACTAATCAAACCGTTATCTTAAAATACACAGGAAGGAGCACTCCCTGGACTCAAAGCAGTGTTGGTTTTAGTCACTCTGGATAGGGAAACATGCAGTCATAGAAAACAACACTTAAAGTCTTTCTTTTAAAACTGAAATGACTTTTTATTTTCATGGCATTGTCCTGTAGCTCTTGAAGCAAACTTTGACGTGTTTGGCATCAAATCTTCTTCAGGATCATGCCATGAAAATAAAGGCTCTTTAATTGTTTAAAAAGAGAGAGTGCCTAAGAGTTCTTTCATGTCCTAATTATTGGATCGCAATCTGGTTTGTTCAGTAGAGTTTTAAGCTATTTTTGGGGCCTTTTTGTCTTCATTGGATAGGACAGGAGGTACATGATATGCTGGGAGGAGGGAGAAGCCCCCTCCCCCCAGCTACATATATATTTGAGTCTATTGTGTATGCTTGAGATGGATTAGAGAGAGGTACAGATGTAATGATAGCTTTACACCACAACAACAAACAGCCACTGCTGACCATTTCTATTGACTTTGTGCAGCTTTTTCAATACCTCTCTGTAATGGGACAAAGTTTGAGCTTGCTAAAGTCTCATTTGAAATGTCAAAAATATATTTTTTGAGTTTCTCTGACAAGAAAGCTCAGACTCAGGTAAGAACTGAGTATTGACACAAAACAACAATCCCTGTTTGTTTGTGCTTGGTTAACATTTAATGTCTTTTCTTTTTAGATTCTTTATAGGTCGACCAAACTGCACAAATCAGTGTAGAGACTTTTCTGACTCTACAATTATACAAGAGCCCTCTGAATTCTCTACTTTGTCTGACTTCTGTTGGATGCATAAAAGTGTGTGTGTGTGTAAACAGTAGCAATGAAAGCATGGCGTCACATTCACTGTGTGAAACATTTAAATGAGGCCCTTTAGGATTGTTGGATTGAAAACTGACTCCACTTTGAAAACCCAGTAAAGGATCTGTTTGATCCTGAAGCTTGGACAGAAACAACAACTGTTATTTTAAGAGAAAAAAGGCTGGTCTTTGGAGCCAAATTTAGATGTACTTTGTGCTTTACAGTGTTGCCTAATTTGGATGTTCTCTTATGCCCCGGTCTTGAAGCCCATCTGCACTCTGCATGCTATCCCAGTGGACAACCGGTGCTTATTAGATCTATCAACAGAAGGATGTAGTTTAATGTCATCCAAAAATCCCTTTCATCAACGTCCCTGAAGGCCTGCAGGGTGAACAGGATCTAATCAGACTATGGCTGCTTACTCACTGAAGTCATTAAGCTCATTAAGGCTTCATTATTTCGATTTGGTTTTGACAAGAAAACCCATTAAACCTCAATGGAATAATGTAATCCTCTAAACTCAAATGTGGTCCTAACTAACAGAGCTAGAGATAAATTAATTCCAATTAGGCCAACAGTTGGAAGAGCCGACGACTTACAGCATGCCCGATGTTCCTGTGAGTGTCTGACTTGAGTTCTGTCCGAGCTTTGTTAGTGTGTGATCCAGACTTCTCTACAGTTTTAGAAGCGAGGACCCTATTGAAACTGAAGGAATTATTCTTTGCACAGATTATTTGGGGGCTTTAACATGCTGGAAAACTCACCAAACTTTGCAAAAAGTTCAAGAGTAAGTGAAATTTACGTGTGGAAGTGTTTTGGCTAAATATCTCATGGGCGCCCCCTAGAAATTTAAAAAAAATTCTCCCTATAGACTTTTTTTTTTACCTACATGCATGATATTTTATATGCATATAAAACATGTCAGGACCTACATAAAATCCTCTTGCACCCATCGTCAAAACCCAACATGACAGCCACCATTTTTGAAATTTCTAAATCCTTCCTAATTAAGACCCGAGCACCGACCTCGGAGCGAGGACCCTATTGAAACTGAAGGAATTATTCTTTCCACAAATGAAACGCTAATTTGGCGTGTTTTGAATGTAAATAAGATCTGTATGCCTCGCTGCTAAATACCTGCCTGATGTCAGATCTGAAATATGCATTTTGTCATAGTACAGTATAGCCCTGTTTCCACCAAACGGTCTGGTTTGGTTCGGTACAGTTTGGTACCGTAAACCCTGACCTTGCTTGCGTTTCCACAGCGAACAGTACCCTCAATAGGTAGACGGGGTGTAAGCCCGATGGTGAAAGCTGCTTCAACTATGTAAAAGTAGTAGAAGTCTTAGTAATAAACACCATAGCAGTGAGACACAGTGTAGTCGACAATAAGTTCAACGTTCAACCTTTAACCAAAGGACAACAATGGAGGACGTCCAGCAGAGGTCTGCACCTCCGAGGTCGTCCATGGGGTGGTGCTACCGACTGACGTTAGTTGCAAAGAAAACAACAGCCTTGAAATCCACGGGGTATTTAAACACTGTCAAACAGGAAGTGAAGATTGTTTAGACCAATCAACCAACTGCAGTGCGTCTCGCTCCAGCCTTAAGGCTAGGATCAGTATACCTAGTGACCAAAAGAAGGGTAGCAAAATAGTTGGACCGTACGGATTGGTTATTTTGGTTTCATTCACAATTGGTTGAGAGTGGAAAGATCAATGAAGGCGTACTGTACCAAACGCAACTGAACCGGACCGCTTGGTGGAAACGGGGCTAAAGTTACTGTAGATTAGATGGTACTTTTTATTCATGTCAAACTGCAAAGTGAACACAAAGTGTCCAAAAAAGCACCAGCAATGAAATGTTGTGGTGTGTTTGACATAACTATTTATCTTAAAAGAGCAGGTTTGCTTGAGCACATGCAGACAGCTATCGTTATAGTCCACTAATTAAGACACACAAACATATACAAAAGTTATCAAAGCAGATGTACTGACATGTAAGGTGCTGACATGAAGTGGCGTCCCTCCCGTCCCGTTGACCGTGTTGTTCTTGGTAGCAGGAATCTTTCCCGCAGCTTTATCCTTGGCTGCCATCTTAATCTTCTCCGCTTCGATACGCTTAGGGCTGTTGAGCATCACTTGAACCACGGCGTACTCCACCAGCGAGGCAAAACCAAACAGCAGGCAGGCGATGAGCCAGATGTCGATGGCCTTGACGTAGGACACTTTGGGCAGCTCTGAAGCCAGCGAGGTGCACTCGGAGGACAGGGAGAGCACCGAGAGGATGCCTTTACAAGGAGAGGAGACAAGTGACCTTATCAGTCATAAAGTAAGAGGAAGCTGGATGTGAAACACACAATTCTAACTTCAATCGCTGTCTGTGATATTTTTCATACTACTACCAACACCAGTAGTTTCTTTGGGTGGTTTTTGAAACAATGCAAGAGAGGAATTTAATGTTCTTTAATAACTGGGTCTACTGTGGAGGCAGCTATGTGTGAGCAGTCCTGGAGTCCAGGACACATTTCCCTAAGGGGATGATGAAGTGTATCCTATGCTATGGTATCATATCGTATGGTGTTGATTGGTATGAACAAACAGAAGCCAAAGAGAAATTTACCAAAATGTGCTAGTTCTAATCCAAACAGGAGCAGAGATACAGGAAAAAACTAAAGACTATCTGACTATCTGAATGACTTAAACTGGACAACAACAACTTGGACCAGTGATTTAATGTCATCCCCAATAACTGTATGTTCCAGTTTTGGATAGTTGGTGCTTTGGATGCATTTTGGAGTATTGTTGATCATTATCCAGCTCCAGATAGTTCTGATGGTGTTACTATAATTGGCAACATATGCCGCTAACTTTGGTCAGTCTTTATTGTGTCGGTTAAATGTTTGTTTCCACTGTGAGGGAGCCAATAATCCATCCACTGATTGGAGAAAAAATTGGTTAATTTCCCACTAAGAGCTCGAGATACTGACCAAATGTCTCTTTAAATATAAACTGTACAGAATCCGATCCATGCAGAGAGGACTACAACTACAACTCCATGACCGTTCTTTACCTCTTATATCAGGTCATCTCCAAGAGCTCAGACACTCTCTAATGATCATGAATGTAAATTGTTTTTATCTCTGATTGCTAACACGATTACAGGTTAGCGATCCCCTCTGACCTGCACAGGCACCGGCTACATCACAGAAACTCCAATGACTCCTCTGAGGGTTTTATGACCACAAATGACGGGCTTCACTCCCCTCACCTACTGTAATGATTCTTTAGAGAGATAATAAATACAAAGAGATGACCGAGGGGGTTTGTCTCCACGCCTCATTATGGTCACTCATCAAGGAAGAGTTCATACAGGGTTCAGGATCAAGACTGCTCCTTCCTCTCTGGAACAGAGCGTTGAAGAGAGCGTCGTCAAGTCTGAAACCCACCTATTATGTATGAGCAGAGGGAAACATGAAAGGTGGCGATACTGAAATAGCTTTGTTTCCCTTGTTCCCCTATGACACACTCAGCTGCATGTATAAACTTGCTCTTTGATTCAGACTGTTTCTGTAATGCAATTGTAAACCATTGTTGGGGTTACCTTTAATATTTCATCTATCTGGAAAGAAAACAGTAAGCACATAAAAACACAGACTCCCAGTTAACACAGGGAAACACACACACATGCACAGCACAGAGCAATAAATGAGAGTAGTCCCACACCTGGGTGTCGACTGACCTGGACTGATCCCATTTAGAGAGGAGTCAGAGGAGGCTTCCAGGAGGAATCGGAGTGATGATGGGATGAAAGTGGTGATAAACAACTGGAGGGAGGATGGAGAGAAAGGAGGTGGTGGAAGACTGGTTTGGGATAAAAAAATGATTATCTTAGCCATGCAGCCCTGCACACACAATGGTGCCCGTGTGATGCTGTATGTGGATGACACTGACATATTACACACAGGTTTAGTTATCGGGGAGGAGGAGAAGTAGGAGGTGGAATGGACATTTTTTCCAACTAGCTTATGAACCTTGTTTAAGAGGTTTGTTCCCCTTATCCATCATGAAAGGTGAAGTGAAAACTGAAAGTGAGAGGGACACTGGAGATCTGTTTTATACCTGCAATTCCAACATGGAGTAGTACCAAACCCTTTCAGCATCCCCTCAGGCTCACAGTCCAGTTATCTAGCTCGACCTATTTCAGTTTGGGCAAATTGTGCTCCTCTGTGGTTGAGGGAAAAACAGCCCTGCTCCTCATGCCCCTCAGCATATTCTTCATTAATTGGGTTAAAAGGATCAGGTGTGCCTCGATGGCCCCCTGAGTGTCAACTGGCTCTCCCTGTCTCCTGAAAAACCCTTGATGCGCAGAGTGATTTGCATAAGAATTTACCAGAGAGACAAGAGCCTGATGTCATTTTCCTTTCATTAGCCTTGTCCCTGCATGATTTAAACTTGACTATAAAAAAAGTTTGTTAAATTTTGGAAAACTGTGTCTATGACTAACAGGCATGAAAACATAGATGAACAGCAAAGTGGCTAGCTACTAAACCAAACCCAAAGGGGCAGTATGATATATTTTAGACATTTGGTTATTAGATATGATTGAGTGTGTTGGCAGCTCAATGACCGACATGAACACCAAACCTATTAGGGTTAAGTCCAAGGGTGGTCCTGAAATCACCCACTACTCATCATATAGTGAACTATAGGGCAGTCGACATTTTTTGTGCTGTCTTAATTATGAGTGAGGGTTATTATACCCTATGTAGTGGAATCTGTTGTTACCCATAATGCACTGTGAAAAGAAGGATGCAACCAATGGTCACTAATCAAGCAGTATGTACCATCATGCATTGCGGTGCAAAGCTTTTAGTATTATTATTGATTATTATTAAGAAAATACACTCAGTATAATATTAGTTATTAATGACATTTTTGCCATTATTTACCGTATTATTGATCCTCGGCTGCACCTTTTAAACGTGCATCCGCAGTGAAGTCATTATCAGTGGTTGTCACGATGGAGAATAGTGTCATTATTCTGTAACCGTAGTTCAGTTCCTAATATTTTTTCTAGGTAGTAGTTATTTTCTATGACAAGTAGTGGTCACTTTAAGAAAAAAAACATGGAGTTGGAAACAGGAAGTTGTGATCAGAAAGTACAGGAGCCACATTGCCAAAAGAACAGCCATCATCCAACTGCTTGTTTCCATCCGCGATCATCTGCAGCTCAGTGGACAGACAGTGGTGTCTTTATTGTGATGGAGAGTTCACTATGTGGTCCACTATATAGAACTCCTTATGAATGGAGAAGTGAGTAGTCAACAAGTGTGATTTCAGACAATCCAATGACTAAAACAATAAACTAGCTATATGAAGTGATTTATCACTCATACAACAACACTGGACATGGTTCCATGGTTGATAGATAAAAGTCCTTCAGGATGTCAAAGTGATTGATAATGTCGTGATGGGGATGATTGGGGCCACAGTGTCAGTGATCCTTAAAAAACCATAAATCCTACTACGGTTTTCGTTTTATCTACCATTTTCTTTTCCCCATGGCTTTTTACAACAATACTTTTCACACTTACTTACCTCCATAGCATCCACACTCTTTCATACACCTTTTGTTTTATCCCACCAACCATACGCTCTATCTGCCCTAGTTGAACACCACAAGGACTATCTACAGATCAAATGGATTGGTAAACTTCAGTGGCAGATTGCGGGATTGATTAAGTCATCCGTACCCAAAGGTACCCTGGCAGCACTGGCATCAGGGTTGATCCAGAAGGACAGCCAGGAGAGGACTACGATGAGCAGGGTTGGGGCGTAAACACCCATCATGTAGAAGCCAACCTGTCGCCTGAGAGTGAAGATGACCTCCACACAAGTGTAGTACCCTGCAAGAAGAACAAGTTCAAACACCATTAGATAACCAAAGTTAGTCATCCAGTTAGTCTTAAGATTTAAAGATGAGAGGTAGGCATTGGTATATCCAGCACTGGAATCACAAAGTGGGGCTTCTTCTAAGTTCATCTAAGTCCCGACAAACTCGCGTCGACTCAAATGAATGCATTTGTGCAAGTTTGGCAGCATGGGAGGACTGTGGAAAATGTTGGGTCGTTCATGAGTTATTGCCAGTGGTACAACAAGCATTTTAGTCAAACAACTGTAAATAACTTAATGTAGTCATTGAATGAATTGTATGAAATGTTGGCATTTTTTTGTTTATTTCTCAGAAGCAATATATTCTGAATTAAACAGATACCGAGGTATAGAACAAAGGCAACATGATAAATCAATAATCAAGTCGTGTGATCTTCAAGTGAGCAAATGTTTTTTTGTATCTACCTTCTTCTGCGTGAGTGCAAAGCCAAGCGAAGCTGAGCACAACATTTGTAAAAGAAAAAGTGATGATAATGAAAGAGAAAGGTCAATGGGCAGGCGGCCTTCAACATCAATTTGGCTAACTTAATGCTGTGGGACCTGTTCAGCACTCAGACCAGCACCCCAAAAATCTCTGATTCCATGATCATGTATGACTTTAAGTGGACTGGAGCATGTCTCTTTCAACAGTGCAACATTCAGAAATGATAAATTCTTTCCAATCCATCTCTGCTGGAAATACGGTTTCCATTAGTCGGTTTACACCAGTATGGAGAAAGCACCGATACCCTTCAGACCTCCTACAGTGTGGAGTGGATGAGCTGAAGTCATATTTAACCAGCCCAGGGATCTCTGCAGTGAGCTTAATACAGCATATAAGAGTTCGCCTGTGTCGCAGAGCCGGCTCCCACCGTTCGCACACAGAGGGGATCTTTGTGTCTGGCAAAGTTGCCATGACAACCTGTTAAAAAGGCTGACTCATTGCCAGTGTTGAGCCTCCAAAGTGTGAGAGCACTAAGGTCATCCCGACTTTGTTGGCTGATAGAGGTTTTTCCATTCATTTGTATTTCTCTGTTGTTTTTGGTACTCATATTGGTCTGAATGTGTGGATGGCTCAGTTCAAAGACTTTATTCAACATTTTATATTCCTTTTTATTTTATGAATATATTTTAGCTCCACCAATATGTGGAGAATGTGGCCAGTGCAGCGTGTTCAATGCTCCAGGTTTATTAGATATACATTTAATTTATACACAATTTAACATATATAAACTACATTTCTTACATGTACCATTACCAGTAAAGAAGGATGAGGAGTAACTAAACATCTGACATATAGAGCAGAAGAGAACACAAGAGAGGGAGAGGCAGAAAAAGAAGCCATTGTAAATGAAGCTAAATGCTAAGCTAGCCTGAGAGTAGGTAGTTAAAATAAGGGAAACTGTTTAGCAGATTAGTCTGAGAGTGCTCTTTGATAACTTCAAAACGTACCGTTTTTTAGAAACAACAATTGTAAGAAAGTTGGGAAAGATTAACAATGAAGCTTTAGCTCTGTCAATCAGCACAGAACAACACTGCAGCAGCGGAGAACAGAACAGGAAGTGATGCAATACGCTACCTGTAGTACATAGGATATCAGATTCCTCTGGATGGAAACAATGCTCTATTTAAAGATCTAATGCTGCTTTGCAGATGTCGACAGAAATGTGTTTAGCTTTGTTGGACCTGAAGGACACACTTTGCTTTTTTAGTGAGTGTTAGTACGAATTTTCATGAAATTCATTAATCTTGTAACTTCGTGAAATGTATTAATCAAGTCTGCCTACCACCTGTTAACACTCCTACCTTTAGGTGTCTGAAGCTGTAAACATATATGAGTGAAGCACCTAAGTAGTAGCAGATCTATGTTTGGATAGGAGCCAAGCATATGTTGTCAGCAACTGTTTGCTAGACAGAGAGTCTACAGTTGTTACGTATACAAATCAGTGTCATGTCATCTTTATTGTTTTATGGTGATGTACCCAAATGGAAAGGAATTTGTGGGTTGCACCTTTTTGACAGAATATAAGCAGCACTGTGAACACTGTTACTTTGTCAGCACTTTGTCAGTCAAGTGATTTGGAAGCATGCTTGTTTGATGAAGTTGTCTGACCTCGGCCGATTAAACGGTGTTATAATCTCCAGTCTGTTTCACGATTTCTTCATTGGATTTATACAAACAGAAACAACCCCCACCTAACAGTGGCGTCAACGAACAGTCGACAGTGATCACTTCAGATCCAGGTAAGCAAATCATCTTTCTGCTTACCTGGAGGAAGTATTGTTTCTCTGTTAAAAGACCTGTTGGGAGCTGTTTCTATAATTATTGATTCATATTAAGATTGGACATATATATGTACACTGCATTTGATTTTCATTCAAAGTGTTACATTTCTGGACTATATGAAGTATAAAACTGCTTATGTCATTGTTATGTTGTCTATGTTATACATGGTATTACTAACACACTCATTAGACGACTTTCTGATACGACTTGTTCTGACATTGGGTGATGGAATATCTATGTGATGTTGTGAAAATTTCTATGAGGAACATAGAATAATCTGCAGTGTGGACACTGGCAGTGCTGCAAAGGTTTGCATGTTTTAAAACCTTGGTGTTAAATTTATTTATAAATCAGGGGACTAGCGCAGCTAATACTTAGCTGTAGGGGTAGGCTTGCAGAATAAAAATGCGTAGAAACCCTTTGTAAAATTGTATCAATTAATTAGAGAGTGATAGCAGCTGATGATTTTTATGGAAAAAGGATTTTATGGAAAAAGTATCGATACAGAAATATATGGAAGAATATGGAATAAAGAGAGTCATTTATAGCAACTTGCGAACTGAATCAAAAAGATTGCAGGCGGATCTTTTCAGGGTCGTAGTGTTGGCTAATTAATAAAGGAAATGGATAAAATGACTGACGTAGGCCTAATATGTGTTGCTGGTCAACTGTCTTGTCTTGTCTTCGTTTAAAAGTCTCGAGCAATTGCAATTTTGTTTTTCATACTGTCCAGAAAACTAAATTAAAATTACAAATTGTCAAAACCAAATTATTATCTTTTTTCTACAGACTGATATTATAGCACAATTTATACAAGTGCACGTTATATATATTAATTTGTTGTGAATGCATGCAACTACTAACATTGTTATTTAATTAAATTAAAGTACCGGTACATAACAAAGATAATAAATTTAAGATTTAAAAAATTAAAACATTTAAAAAAAAAAAAAAACTAGACAAAATGTGACACGTAAAACTTGCTTAATCATATTCCATACATTCTAAATTGACCTATCTAAATAAATCCAAATTTAAGTGAATCATACCATCATGGGCAATGAAAATAGTAAAACCTCAACATGCAATCAAACTGTTATCAAAAATAAATCTGAACTTGATTTGCCAAGAAAGGAACGGAAAGCCATGAAGGCCTTGTTGAAAACCAATCCGCATTTAACTTTGCTACCAGATAAACCTGTTAGTGGCATGACTCCGAGGGAGTGGATCCAGAGCAAAATAGGTTTTTATTATGTAGAACCATATTTGAGCT